GCCGCACTCCCCTGCTCATTGTAAAAGAAAACAATTCAAAAGAACCCCTGTGACTAAAAGAGCACTGCAACATCGGGAAACACATCAAGATTTGTGCGTGTCATTCCTTAACACTGCAGCAACGTGGTACACTTCAAGATTTGTGCGGGTCATTCCTTCACAATTCAAAAGAACCCTGTGACTACAAGGGGCACACCCACACACTCGAGATATTGCGTACGGAACTGAAAGCCATTTACCACACGGCGACCTAGGTATATAACCATATTCCTGAGAAAGTCATGTAAGGGGGTCTGAGCATCCTGGGGGTCCAACCAAAAGAAAAAGGATGCCCAAGGTTCCAAGTTCAAAGTCGATTTTCGCGAAACAACAGGTTGATGACGACCGTGCACATCTGCAGAACTCATTGGCCTTTTACAGGAGAGTCGGGTCACAGCTTAAATGTTCAAAAGGAAGCAGGTACGTCTGGAAAGCGTCCTTTCCAGATACCAGCCACAACTGCAGCCCTCTTCATTGAGCAATCAGCTGTAATGTGGGATTGCCCCCCTCCGGTGATTCCAGGGTTTTCACACACATGCCTCCCATAAAGGGAGGCACAGAAAGACCAAGGGGCAGGCAAATGTGCATATGTGCGCGCAAAGCAGACAAACGGATGAAGACTTGAAAAGAGGACAAGACAGACAAGGTGTGTGTGTGATTGCAATGAAAAGGAACTTAGCGACCAGGGACAGCCGATGAACCAAACCTCCTTGTGACAACCTGGGCGACCTCAGACCTGGGTTTAAAGTACAAGTGCGCGCGCACACTAAGGGCCGGACCAGTATATGCGCAAGAGAGAAAAGGGGTGAAGTGCCAAGACGTGAAGACAGAAAGACATATTGACCCTGCGTTCCGGGTATTTGGCGGAATCAGCCAGCCAGCCACCTATCAAAGTATCCGGCGAAATCAGCCACCCAGCTAGCTAAAAAGTATCCGGCGGAATCAGCCAGCCAACCACCTATCAAAGTATCCGGTGGAATCAGCCAGCCAGCCAGCAAAATATCCGGCGGAATCAGCCAGCCAGCCACCAAAAGTACCCGGCGGCTGAATCAGCCACATAAAGGGGTCCGTATAAATGCTATGTTGCTATATCTCTTACACACCTATATAAGTTCAATGCAAGAATGAGACTTCAAAGCTGTGGATTGCTGTACGTGTGCGAAGGTTATCGAGCGGTTGACGGAAAGGGAACTTGAACCTGCTAACTGAATTGTAGTTACCATGGGTATCTATACCTGCGCCAGCTGAGTAAGAAGGGGGGTTGGGGGGGTGGCCTGAGAAAGCACACTCGAAAGCAAAAACACTGGCTTTCGTTTTGCAGCTTCTCAGGTTGTTTATGTTGTTTGCCTTGCTGGCAGGAAGCCTTCCCAGGGGGACGCGTACATGGCTTCACTTTTTGGCCCGAAGGGTTGATCAAGGAGGCAAGGTTCCAACCGATCAATCAGTCAATCAACCTTTACGCGCGCAAAAACATCGGCCCAGGTGGAAATTGCTAACAACGCTCTGTCCAATGTTGCTGCACTCCCACAAGAGCTTCGTTCCCATGGAAGAACAAACAACAAACAACAAACAACAAACAACAAACAACAAACAACAACATCAACAACAACAACAACAACAACCACAACCACAACCACAACCACAACCACAGCGACAGCCACAGCCACAGCCACAGCCACAGCCACATCAGAGCTCTTTTGACACGTGGCAAACATCAGACAAAATGAACTTCTAGGATCTGAAGGGTTTAGCCATCAGTGGCGTGGCAATGTGACTAGTTCTGTGACTATTATTTAGTGGATCAATTTGTATTGTTGAACGAAAAACGAAGCCATCACTAGCCTATACACTACTTGTGACGCCTCTTACCATTTGGCGCCAATACTTGTTTGGTCCATGTTTCCTTCATTAGCCAACTGTGTGTGCCAAAAGTAAAGAATATGTGAACACGACTTTCAATTATTTTTGAAAGAACGCATTTCGACCAGATGAATCTCATCAGATTCAAACTCGCTTTTCCCGGACCGCCGCCACTCTTTCTGGTTTTAGCGCGGCGTGCGCCAGAACTAGTCACACCGCATTTGGGTAGTGCGGTGAGGTCCTCTGAACCTCTAACTGCGGTACACTGAAACTCCACGGCCCGTGGAGCTGGGACTTGTGTAAAGGACCATTCTCACTCAAAATAGACGGGAGCTGTGGCCGGCACCTCGTGAATGAGATGCCGGAAGCCACCTATGAAAGTATCCAGCCAGCCACCTATCAAAGTCCCGACGGAATCAGCCAGCCACCTATCACAGTCTCCGGGGGAGCGGGAGAATCAGCCAGCCAGCCAGCTATCAAAGTATGCGGCGGAATCAGCCAGCCAGAAACCTATCAAAGTAGCCGGCGGAATCAGCCAGCCAGCCACCAAAGTACCCATGCAATCAGCCAGCCAGCCAACTAAAAAGTAGCCGGCGGAATCAGCCAGCCAGCCACCAAAGTAACCGGCGGCTGGCGGAATCAGCCACCAAAGTATGCGGCGGCTGGCGGAATCAGCCACCTAAAGTATCCGGCGGCTGGCGGAATCAGCCGCCTAAAGTATCCGGCGGCTGGCGGAATCTGACTTAGGCCCCGAACTTCAGGGTCTATAGAAGGACATGAAACGAAAAAGGAAAAAGACAGCGTGTAAAGGGGAAAAGATGAAAGGGGGAACCAAATGGAGGAGACGGAATACAACGAAACCAAACCTCATTCAGAGAACCTAGGCAAGCCAAGCCTAGTCTGGTATGTGCGCGCCGTATGTGCATTTAAGGGCGGGACGGCCTCAGTGGGCCTGGAAAAACTTTGACCGCTCTGGTCACCTTGTGCCATGCCAAAAGGGCGGGCAACTTGAGTCCGCTGTGGACACGTTATGGCATGCTCGAAAGCGGCGGGCTCAGTTTCAACCATCCAGCAAGTCGGGAAGAAACTATGGCAGAAGCCTCCTGCTGTCCGCTGCGGACACCTCCGTTCCCAGCCCGGGGGAACATGGACAAACCCCCGTCCGACGGGGGGCACTCTTCGAGCTCACCCCACTCGAGATATTGCGTGCGCTTGCCACACGGCGACCGGGGCAACCATATTCCTGAGAAAGTAATGTAAGGGGGCCTCAGCATCCTGGAGGCCCAACCACAAGAAAAAGGGAGCGGTTCCAAGGTCAAAGTCGATGGACAGGCTGACGACAACCGTGCGCGCCTGCAGAACTCATTAGCCCTGTGCAGGAGAGTAGGGTCATAGCTTGATCAACAGTTCCAAAGAAAGCAGGTACGTCTGCAAAAGCGTCCTTTCCAGATGCCAACCACAACTGCAGCCCTCTTCGTTGGGCAATCAGCTGTAATGTGGGATTGCGCCCTTGCTCACAAAATCAGTTGATGCCCTGTGATCCCAAGGGCTTCACACACACACACGTGTAATTGTACAATATTGTACACACATATATACGTACGTATATTGTTCAATATACAAACACACCGACTTGTAGTAGAGCCGGGTGGGGGAGAACAAGGCATGCCACTTCAACCACAAGCCCAGCAACAATGATAGCGATATTATCCTGCAAGATAAGACAAAGAAGGACAGGACGACTGAGGAAACAAGTTTCGACCGAACTATACGCTGCAAAAAGTGATGAAAGATGCGTGCCCTGTGGCTGAGTAAGGGGTATGGTATCGTGTTGCCGTGGCCAAGAAAATAGATCAGTGGGCGGAGGAGCAACGGTGAGCTTTGCTTCAATCTTTAGTGAGAGTGGTTCAAGTACCAACAGCTGCTTCAATTGTGTCCCCAGGATGTCATGGGGAAGTGGATCGTGGAGAAGCGAAAGCAGCTTGCTCCGATGCTTGTGGTGCTGAACCGTCGCATGGATAAAATTATTGCAGTAACCCTAATGGTTGCCGGATGACGCACGTTAGTGAGAGGCCACGGGTCTTGTCGGCGAGCAGGAAGCTTTCTTGGGATGTACGATGTACAAGGCCCCTTGACGAAGAGGTGTGCTATACTATTTTTTATAACATATTAATATATAATATACATTGTTTTTTCTCCTCACGACCCGGGTGGGCGAGTTCGGAATTGAGATAGGGACACGTGTGGAGATCTACCAGCAAGGAAGGGGTCAACACGTAGCCCGGACACTATTGTAGCAGGCGTAGCGGCAAAGTTGAAGGGACAAGGTTTCAGGGTGCTCAAAAAAAGACTTGGTAAACCGGCTATTGTGTACTTCTTCTCACCATAACAAGACTTATGCACTGACTGGGATCAGGTCAAAGTCCGGCTAGAAGGTGTGTTGTAGTTGTTTCCGTCCTCAAGTAGATATGATATGCAGCGATTGGCTGAACTCCCAAGCGCACGACAGTTTTGTACACACACATAATCACACACGCACACACACACATATATATATATTTATTTATTTATATAGATGTACACATACACATGTGCATTTAAATGTTTTTGACGTTTACCATATGCAGACCGAACTTAGCCCAAGAAAAGATGATTACATTTAGCGCTCAAATCGGTTCAGAAGCTGATTCAGGACTGTATACCTTGTTCCGCACATGTTCATGTTCCTCAGCTTCGAATTCAGTGGGCTACCGTGTAGGCTACCCACCATTTCTCAAACACAATGTCGTCGCATGTTGCAGAGCACAAAGGTTGACCACACAGGCGAACAATTACATAGATGAAGACGCTGCCCAGGTGTGGACAGGGCAAAGAGCTGTGCAAAGTTGCTTTGTGATTTAGGCAGCTTGGCCAGTGATGATCTCAGTACTCAATGGGTAATTACAGAGATGAGATGGGTGCCAAAAATCACCATTTTCCAGAGTTTCGACCGTCTGAAAGCGTGTCCTTTGTGCTCACCCGCACTCGGGTAGCACCAGAGAAAGATGCTTTCCTGAACGCAGATGCCGACGCATGGATGAAGCTTGCCCTCTCATGCACCTGCCCTGCAACTGCAGGACTATCAGCAAGAGCTCTCCATAGCAAAATGAACTACACCGTCCGGAGTGAGGTCAAAGATGCGCCTCGGCAGCACTATTCCCAGTGTGCTTGCTGCACCCTTTTCACACAAAGGTGCAGGGCTGGGCTAAGTTCGGTGCAGGACGCAAGGCCATGCCTTGGTGATCTGTGGTGTGTCGTGTTTGCTATGTCTTATTTTTAGTGTGGTGGTGTGGTCGCTATAATGTGGTGATCTGGTGTGTGGTGATTGGCATGGGCCAGCTTGCATGCTCTAAAGTGTTCGTTCTCTAGGAGTTTTGTGTCAACACCTGTCAATCACCAGGCCAAACTTGCTTTGGGCACTCTGTGCTTGTCCGAACTGTTCTAATCTAAGCTTCATGCAATTTTCATTTGTTTTCTATGGATGGTCTTGTTTCCCACTCAACCGGGTTGGGGTAGGCGTTACCCTGGGGATAGCTCGAAGATGCTCGAAGTATAGTATTCTTTTTTGACCCGTGGCCCTGCCTCCTTACTTATATAATTAAGCAGGCACCCACTTATATAACTAAGTATTGTAGTGGGCGCTCCTAGCTACTGGACGCAGGATAGCGCTCGCACTAATCATTTGGTTTCTAGTTTTAGGGAAACTTATAATCAACTGTACTTCTGGGCTTCTGGCTTCGGCGGTTGTTGCGGCCCTTGGTGGGTTTGGTTGTTGTGTCACTCAGCCTTCAGGGTTTGCAATGAGTCCAAGTCTATGCATGCACGTCCAAGACATCCATGCAGTAGTTACTCTGAGCAGCAAGCCGACTAAGTTGCTGCTGCGAGCTATTCACTAAGCTTTATTGGGTTTCTAGGGAGTCACTATTTGTCATAACGTATCAAAACATCCAAGGTTCTAAGCAAGGCTCGCTTATGGGGTCTCACCCACAACCTCCATAATAGGGCGCAAACAGAACGACGAACACAAACGCCAGCACATGCAACATGCCAAATGCAGCAATAGGAGGAAAGGACAATGTGAGGGTTGTTTTGTTTTGCGAGGTTCCGTAAAGGCCAGCGCAGGCGACTCTGTGTCGGAGTGCCGCACAGACCACGTGTGAATCTTTGAGTTTTCGGAAATGCTAGGGGGGCAATTTAATTTGTGAATTACAGGATGGTGCAGGCAACTCGTGTAGTGCGAGCGTGGCTGGAGATGTCTCAAGGTAACTTCCAGCACATGAGGCGGTGCAATGTGGTATGATGGAACCCAGGCTGAGGAAGCATGACTCCCAGCTTCACGAAGACAAAGAAAGTTTAGGGTTGCCACCGAGTTCACTGGTCATGAATTCACAGCCTCAGAAGATACAGTTTGGAAAGTGCCAGAACTAGGAGGGACCGGAGGGACCAAGTACCCAAGAAACAAGGGAAGGATGTGGCATGTGGTCGCCTGTGGTAGCCTTCGGGGAACCCGGTGTTTGACGCTCTAGACTCTAGACTTCGTCAGGGACCGTCACGGGTGTATTGTTCGTTCTCCACCGGTTTCCGGAGCTTTTCAATTTTTTCAATTATTTAATATCTCGCAGAGCGGTTTCTTGAAGTACCCATAGCATCCCATAGCCTCTTTATGCCTTTTTCATCGGCTCAGGCCGTGAGGACCGGGCAGTTGGAAGCTGCATGCATCGTGAATATGTTCAACGAGGCTTGTGTCTTGTGTCTTCATTCATGCCGTCATCACGTGCTCCAACGATTGATTCGGTTCTACACCTGGAGCCTGATGTTAGGTGCAGGCATTCGGTTCTCACAGTAGTTGACATCGAAAGATCAAATCAATTGTGTGTTGCATTGGCACTGGGGAAACATGTTTGGCCTCGGAAACATTTGAGATGTCCACAAAGAATGTATTCTCACAGTCCAGGGTGTATCCATGAATGAGCTGAAGTCCGTGATTTTTTGGGACAAGCGCTGCAGTGCAGTCAATGTGAAACTCGGCAAGCACCTTTGTGGAGGGCCAAAGGACGCCGAAAGTTGCCGAACAGGCTGTGTCATGCTGTGTTGATTGTGTGAACATGGGTGAACTGTTTGAGCGGCTCTGGCATGCACTGCAAGATGGGCCCTTTGCCTTTGTTTGGTTCCGGTAACAACGCAGCCTGAGACGTTCAAGGACATTTGTGAAGCCAAGCATATACTGGACTCCTGGACATAAGGACTGATAGGTGAAATGAACTGACGAAAGGCCCAGGCTCACCACTGAACCCTCCAACATGAAATCCTCTCTACGCCACCACCAAAGACCAACAACCTGTTGATTTTGTGCAGTGTTTTTCTGAAATGGCGGAAGTTGAACTAAGTTCGAATCTGGCTGAGTCCGTCCCTTGTGGTGGCCTCTTTTAGCTTCACCGGCCCAGAGCGCCAAGGAAACAGCTGTCCATGCGTGTGACGCGGCTTCATGAGACCAAGCCCATTGCGCACGTGGTGTTGCCCCTTTGTGACTGGGCACGTCGTCGCCAAGCAATCTGTCGGAGTGGAGGATGGTGGACCCAGCAGAGGCCTTGAGGTCGTAAGTGACATCAACCAACAAGCCATCAACAGGAAGGAATGTGGTTGTGCAGCCGCGGGGCAACCGTCCAACCAACTGAACCTGGTGCCTGAGGCATTTGGGGGGTTGAACGCAACCTGGTCGACCTTATTTGTCATAGCGTCATCCCCAAGCCTCCGCCGAAAGTTGAGGTGAAGACTTGCGGTACGACAGAGAGATTCGCAACATCATCAGGCACCAAGATAGTCCAGCCATGTCCAGCCTTTGGCTCAAGAAGACAGAAACGGCCAGACTTGATCTGGGATAATCAAGCGTCAAGTAGGATCTCATTGATTGTATCCCAGGAGCCTGGCAGCTGTTAATTCCAATGTTAAGACTGGGATTCGACAGCAATGCGCTGGCTGGTGGCCCGGCTGCAGTCGGAATACTCCAAGAATCTCCAAGATACATAAATATTATATATGCAAGCTGATTGAAGCTCAAAGACTTCAAGCGGTGTGTTTGCAGCGTCCAGCGCCAAAGCACTGAGGTTCAATGTTGTGAATTTGCAACGTAACCAGAGCTGCTTGATTTGAATGGTTGGATGTGCAAGTCCAAGTCAGGCTGGCCATTTCCCCCACCCGACGTGACTGGGATGGCTAGTTAGTTGTCTAGTTGTTCTTTTTTTGATGGACAACCCAGCCTATTGTGACCTTTGCTGCTGCAGCAGCGCATATCCCAGCGTAACGACAAACACAACAACAGACGGCAAGCCATTACACCGACAACACGCAATGAGAGCACCAAGCACATGCGCAGACAACCCGACACCAGACAAGAAGCAATGATATACTGATATACGACACACAATGGCAACACCAACAGCAGGCAAGAAGCAATGACAGATACGGTACACACACACATAATGACAACGGCAAACATACCACAGCGCATCCCGCCGGTGGCCCGACCCATTCCCGCCAATGGCCCGACATGACAGCAGACGTCAAGCATTGCCACTCAAAATGTCGACATGAAATCCTGCCAAAAGGGGGGGAAGCAAAGGGAAGGACTGCAATGCAAACACGCGTGGAACACCCTAAAAGTCATAGGCCGTTTTGTCCATGGGCCGCTCTACCGAGACTTCTTCGCTCTTTGAGGCTCTCCTTGGTCTGCGGAATCGGACAACATTTCGGAACAGATCTTCGACCGTTTTGGCCGATACCTGGCGGGCCCCCGCGTACAGGCTGCCACTGCCCGACCTGCCCGGGGCATCCGGCGCAAGCCATTTTACAAGTGCTTTTTGCGATTTGGTTCGAAGACCCACCTTGCAAAGCATAAGTGGTTTCAAACCCTCAGAGAAGCTCAGCAAACATCAATCAGGGCCTGTACTTGTGATTTTTTGTTTTGCGGTCATGTCCTGGTTTCTGCCCTAGTGGTCGTACACATCCTTTTGTTGCAGGACTTCAGTGGCAGTGTGGACCAGCTCAAGGAGAGGGTTTCCAGCATGCATGAAGGAACGCCAATTTTTGTTTTCTTCGGCTCCTTTTTCCTACAACTCTGGCACTTCACTGTTCCATACGGAAAGCCAAACCACGTCAGCAAACAAACAGACTTAGTGGCTTAGAGCATCAAACCTTGGCAGAAGTCAAACTCCAATTAATAAGACACCATTCTACTGCAAGGTTTTCGTTTGTCAGTAAGAAGCTAGCAACCCCCAGACTGTAACTGCTCGGAATTCCCAGACGGAAACCTGCACCATCCTGCCTGCAAGTAGCTGCAAGCACAGCACAGGACAGTGCAACACATCACTGAGCAACTAAGTATATACAGTATATATATAACTTAAACTTATAACTGGCTAACTAACTGACTAACGAACAAACTATGACTATACCATAATAATATATATAGCGATATATGATATAACCATGAAAAACCTATTGCATCAATGTATTTGTTAAAGTGCCCCAAGTTCGATTGTATATTCATCGGATGATGGGCAGGACTGCTGCGATGTAGCCCAGCCCCTAGCAACCTATATAGCAACCCGGCAACCCTCCAGTACCTAGCAGCCCAGTAGCACGCCCGACGCATCCAAACCACACTGAAGGCTCCCGCCAACAGCCCACATATAGCTGCCAGGATTTCGTTGTGCTACATGGCCATTTGCCCCGAGTAGCCGCCAAGCGTGCTCACAAGAAGGAGAGGGCAAATCTCAGATGAGTTCAAGACACATTGCTGGGAGTGCAGGGCCAGGCAACAAAGTTTCAGTTGTTTGAGAAAAAGCTGCATGTAGCTGCAACGCATGCCATGGCGCGCCACTCTTTTCTCATACTTGTCAAGTAGGATGACCATGAGCGGAATCTTTGGCCTTATCACAGAAGTGCCAAGTGTGCAACTATTCTATTTTACATACACTTGGATGGGCCGTTTCTCGCAAGTATGCCAAGCAGATCTCCGAACAGTACTACTACTGATACTACTGCGAACTGCAGACTTCTACGCGGTCTAAAGCTTGCAGTCGTGGGAAGTGGAGTCATGTGGAGTGATGTGGAGCGCACGAGTGTGGGTTGGTCTTGAATTTTTGCACTGTCGTCCATGGTCTCCTCCTCCCCTTGGTGTGACAATGCCACTAGAGTCTCTAGAGCTCTCACATCAAGGTGCCGCTCTGCAGAGAGTGGACTGTGTGATGTTGACAACCACCAAGTGTGAACAGACACCAGCGCTGTGCGTAAAGTCTGCCGGTCTCTTTATGGCAATATGCAGTATCGGGCCAAGACGAGATCATGTTACTTTGTATGGGCCACAATTTGAGCTAAGATGAGATCAGGTGAGATGAGGTAGTATGAACATGTATCATCCAGCACTCTCACTACTGACTTGCCTACACCCAAGCTCGCATCATTTCCCATGATAGTTGGTATCGATGTCCTGGATCTGGCGGCGTTGGAGCCGGCAAACGTACATAGCCCCAAAGTTGTTGCCAGCCAAATTATGCAGAAGGTTATTGCACATTCGCAACGCACATGCTTTGAGTTTGAGTCTTGGCAGCGGCCTGCTTACATGATTTGCAGGATGAGGCCTTCTTGGCACGTCTTGCACTTAGTGTGCTGGCGTGATGATTGTTCGGCAACCACTGGCATCCCAAGGATCATTAAACTTAATTTAAAAAAAAGGCACATGTTTGGGGAAGAGTCTAGCAGCAACAATGAAGATCAGTTGACCATCTACCTTCAGGCTTTTTGTTTTCGGTGCCTTAGGATCACCTTGGTTGCTGATGAATTCCAGTTCCCAACATCTGGCGGGTTGTAATTATATTTGCTGTCTCTGGTTCAGGTTTCCTGAAATATGTGAAGAGAAAGCTGACATCTGATGTGGCGTGGCAGTAGTGAGGGGGGATGGGAGTGCGGAGGATCAGCAACTATACTTCGTCATGTTTCACCCGTAGAGGCTTTAGGGGCAAGGTGCGTTGGCTTTTCATAGGAGGATGACAGGATTCAAATCGCTGGCGTGTAGATGCGCCACATTCCTTACTCAGCACAGCAGTTCTCAATTCATTAAGGGGCCCTTTTCGCAGAGTCCAGGACCGTCCAGGATAGCACCTCTCCAAGCGACACATCTCAACGACGTACTGGTGCATTGTCGCGCTGTTGGTCACCCCATGTGCGCAACCAGCCCACCAGTGACGTTCTGACGTTTGCCTCCCAGGAACTGAGCCAAGCTCAGATCTTCCAGCTGAAGCTGATTCCCCTGATGCAGGAACGGATAGAAGAGTGGACAAAATTTGTCACTCGGTATGATGGAGTGGAGGGCAGGTGATGACCGCGGCACAGGTGATAAGGTGGGCAAGAAGCAGGCCGGAGAGACCAGGCAAATTACATGATGAGACTGATATGTTTTGATTTTATATCACCAGTATTTAATACACACCGTGCACACATACATTCTTACATACATTCATACAGGCAGGCAGGCAGCCAGGCCAGGCCAGACAAGACAAGACAAAACAAGACCAGACCAGACCAGATCAGATCAGACCAGACAGACAGACATACACGCATGGCTCAAGACACGGGCTCAAGCGGGCTCCCCGCGAAGACCCGCTAATGCATCAAGCCCCAAGCGAACATTGACTGCGGAACCTGAGCAAGGGGATCGATTACAACACTTTCATTCATTGCCAGTGATCCAACATCCAGGACACCAACACCGCCCCTGTCCTAACTTACAGCACCTGGCAGTGCTCGCCTTGAACTTCTTCCGGGACTCTGCTGAATTTTTACACGATCTCTCCTTGCACCTTTTGGACAAGGTCTACTACAGGCACTTTGCCCGTGATCCTACGAGACTGCCTTCCACTGCGGCCAGCGGTGATCATTGAAATTTGGGGAGGGGGGCACTTGCGCATAGACTACCCAGATCAGAACGCCAACTGTGCCTGAAGCGGCCACTAGTGCCGAGGGTGAAACCACCCAGCGTGACACTGAGCTCAAGGACCTCTACAACTCTAGAAGCAACAAACATATGCACGCACACATGCATACATGCACGCATACATGCATTCGTAATGCATACACGCATACATGCATACATGCCTGCACGTGTGCGTACATGCATGCGTCCATGCCTACGCGCATCCATGCAGACAGGCAGGCAGACAGACGAAGAGACAGACAGACCATGAAGAGCTCTGCTCGTGCTCGTTCATGAAGGTGACAGGCTTAAGCTTGGTGAGCCCGAGGCCCGACCATGGTGGCAGGATTTGGTGGCCTTTGTCGTTGGTGTTTTGCCTGGGGATCAGGCATCACGGATCACTGCGCCTGAGGATCCAGAATGCCCAGTACAGAGGATGGTTCATGGGTTCACCTAGCGTTGGTGGATTGAGCTATCTTGAACTCATTGTCTCTTTCACACCTGCCGTGGCAGATGATCCCGGCCTTTAGGCCGGGAGACGGACATCAACGAGTAATTACACCAAATGGCTGGAATTTGCACATCTGGCACCGCATGCAGCCATGCTGTAAGGGAGGAGCCTTCAAACGATTCAAACGCTTGATGAGGGCGGATGTCACCAAATCGAAGATGAATAGTTTGGAATGTGTTTGGATGGCGCCCAATCTGCCAAGCCCACGGCAACGAGGCTGCCCATGTCGTCGGAGGTTGAGTCTGGCCCAGTCCTGGGAGATTAAAGCCTTTTTTAAGATTCATAGGATGTGAAAGGCTATGAGGAGAATCGGCCCTTGACAACCTTGTGTTGCAGCAATTCGAGGAGAGCTTGATCGACGTCCTCCCAGAAGACCCTGTAACGGCCTCGTCGGCCTCGTGCTATCACACCTAGTATATAATTACACCTACCTCGAAGCTCGTCGGAACAGAACTGCAGCCGGCGATTCTGGCCAATTCGAGGGGAAGAATGCCCCAAAATGCCCCAAACGCCTTCACAGGAACAGTCGTGACCCGATGATGACATGTTCTTGATCGCCACTGGGGAGCCAACATGTTCGCTTGATGTGACTTGTGTGCTGAGTTGTCAACAGTACAGTAGTATTTTGATGTTTTTTGTTTGGACACTGTGGAAGCCTCTAACCGGGGAGTAGGGGATAGAACCTCGAGTGCTTGGGGAATAGGTTCAATTCCATCGGACCATGAATCTTCGAGCCATGTGTGCAGAGGTCAAATTCTCCAAGCTGGGCATGTCAATGCCCTTGTCCATGACCGTGCGAGCGATCGCAAACTCTTTCTCCTCGGCTTTGGCGAGCAAACCGCTCGATCGAACCGCTCCACAGAACACAGTTGACCAGTCTTCCGGATCGCGTGAAGGTGCTTGTCTTGAAGAACGCGGTAAAGGTCCTATAGCTCTTCGTGCATGCACGCCGCGTGTCTTCACCCTGGCTTGTCACAACCCAGAGCTTGTCACCCCGCTTCCAAGCAACAACGTGCCTGCAAACAACAAGGAATACGAGAGTCTTTCCTGGGAGGCTGTGGCTGCCTCAGGCGCATTAGCTTGCACACGGTTCATCCAATTCGCCATTCTACGCAAGACAAATTGATACAAATTGGATGCTTTCCTGCAATCTCCATCCATTGACCGGGCCTATCCTGATTCGCGTGGTGGCCACAAGTCCCATTTGCTGTGGCAGCTTGGCACAAAGATCTCCCGCCTGCCGACTTTGTGGAGGTCATGGCCACCTCATCCTCACCAAGCTTTTGAAGCGGCAGTGCAAGGGACAACCGGTGCAGCAGACACCAAGAAGCTCGCCTGCGGCGCAAGCCCCGCCTGAAGCACATGAGCAGCACCATAAACTCCCATGTAAAGGTTTAGTAAGCGGGTTATTCTAACGTTGTTGCGCGAAAGCTGAAACCCAGGCCGCATAAGTTCGCGAAAGCTTTTTGCGAAAGAGCCTGGAAAGTATTGGTTGCGAAAGGGATTGCGAAAGCACACATGAATGCTTGAGCCGCAGCAATGCGCATCTCAGGGATCACTAGGAGAACTGAGGCACCGCAGACATAGGCGTAGTTGTGAAGGCCACCCAAGTGAGGAAATCTGTGTGTACGAGATGTGATTTGTTGAAATCATCTTTGAGCCAAATTTTCTAGTTTCTGGGGACGGGAATCCGCGAAAGCTTCGCGAAGGAAACGCGAAAGCCAAACCATGTCCAGGAAGAGGGTTCCCCAGGCACTGTTCATAGAACACCGTCGGAAAGCAATGTTGTTGTTTCCCGCAAGGCACTTAAGCTTTCTTGTCCACATGCCGCAACAGCAAGTTCTTCGGCAAGTTCTTCGGACTCTATTCCTCAACCACTTCTGACTCCAACTAGCTTGCGGACAAATCGGGAGTAGAAAATGTGTGCTACAACTGCTGCTTGCTATGTTGTCCATGCATATATTAAGAAAACCTATTGCATATATATACTTACAATGGTTCATCCCGTCCCTATCAAAGAGGCCAGCGCGCGAAAGCGCCTGCGAAAGCCCCTGTTGCAACACAAGTGCGCGCGAAAGATAAAACTGTGGTCGCGCAAGCAGCGCGTAAGGATGTGCGAAAGTATGTTGTTAGTAAGGGCTTAGCATAGAGGTTTTTGGCATGGCTCACATGAAGGCCACGTGCCGAGTGTGCTCTTGCCAGAGCTTGCTTGTTTACGTACATACATTACAAAACATTGTATACATTCCATGGGCAACATTACGCGACATAACGTAACATAACATAACACACCACAACGTAACATACCACAACACAACATTACATTACATTACATGACATGACATGGATGCATACATACACGCATGCACACACACACACACTGCACTCTAGCCGAGGCCGAGAACCACCAGAACTTTGATTGGAAGGATCGCTGCCGCCAGCTCAAGGATTGGGAGGCGAGGAGTGGCTTTCTCATGGGGACGGCGCTAAACCAAGAGCCCCCTAGGGCACCTTTTCTCTTGCATGCAAATCATGCCAGGCCCTAAACTCGCTGGGTTTGGGCCTTCATGTCGTTTCAGAGCCTCAGTCTCGTTCCCAACTCCGGAGGCCAAGCACCACAGGTTGCCCAAAGGACGGGGAACCAGCCCCGAGGAGAAGTACTTGATGCGTTGGTTAGTGGAGGTGGGGATGCTTTGTGTTCGTTTTGCCTGGCAAATTGTGTTGTTGAATTTCTGGTAGCAGTTCAATGCGTGCTTGTGCTTGTGATTCTTGCTTTTGACGTGAATAATTAGTTACAAGCAAATTCCAAGACTCATGACGTCTGTTGATGAACTTACACTCATCTCATTTCATCCCATTTCCGACCCTACGTCCTATCGCTTTCCAGGTGGGACGGCGCTTCCGCAAAGACGAACTGTCAAAAGAACAAGTGAATGCTTTGATGGACATTCCTGGGCTGCAGGCACCTGCGGTAACAAGAAGCGAACGTAGAAACAAGTGCCACGCTACTAGGAACAGGTGCCTTACTAGTAATAACAAGAAGCTACTAGGGGCTCCTGGCGGATTTTGCGCAGGAATACCTTCTGTTTTGCGCAAGGGCTCTGCATTTGGCACCTCAATGGGTGGGCCCAGTCCATCCATTAGGCTTTGGTGTGTTGCCGTGGCAGGGCAAGTTCCTAACTTGCACGGGAAACTGATTCCCTAGCTTCTTACCCAAGTTGAACCGGTGTCCAAATTAATGCACCTCCGCCTCAGAGTTCGACACAGTCAGGAGGGCAATACTGTTTAAACCCCAGCCATCCCTGAGTTTGCGCAGTGCATCTCAGGTAATGCTAGATAAATGGACCAGGCAACTCTTCAGCAAGAAGGCTGGCTGCCTGGGTGTGCAAGCTTCCGTTTTTGCTGTCATTTTCAGCATCTGCCACGAGCTGGTGTGTTCATGCAAAATCGGAGAGCACTTGTTGGATTTGCCTTCCTTGTCAGGTGGTAGAATATTTATGACGTGGCAACTCAATTGTTGCTTCGCAATGCTTTTCCCTTGTGGCAGTGTATTGGGGCTAGCCAAATATCAGTTCCCAAAAACATCTAAGAACCAAATCATTATTATATCTTGCCCGAAGAAGCCTCAGCCCTTCTGCGTCCTAGGTAGTACTACCCCTTTCTAGCTACTTGAGCTCACCTCTGGGCCCACCCCCCAGGCCCAAAACAAAAAGAAAGCAACGGAAAAAAAATAATTGCAAACCTGACTTTGGAGGTGCAATGTTATCCCATTTCAGCCTTGCCAGCTTGCAGGCCCAGCAGCTGTCCTGGTCACAAGGCTGCCAAGAGTTGGGGGCCTGGATGAAGACCAAGCGTCGACGCTGTGCTGCGGTGGTTGCTTTGCTTCTTCTTACATTCTGCCTTCTTCGCATAACCTGTACAAGAACTAGAATCAAACGGCTCCAAGTGGTTCAAGCAAGAGCAATGCTAACAAGCAAGAGGTTGAGCCGAAATCGCTTCAAGATGAGACAGCACCAAAGAGTGCTACAAGATGCATTGATATCAGTAGCACTGCAGTAGCACTGAGAGTTACAGCAACATATGTGGGAATCATTTCTTCGGAGAAAGTTGCATAGCCCTTGCAAGACAGGATCCAACATCCCATGCAAGACGAAGGATAGGACAGAAGCCAGTGGCCAAATTTTCCCATGAATGGTGGGCATGTTGCACAGACTGCAACATATTGGACGACCATCAGATTAAATAACATGCACGGTGCCAGTGTCCTCCAGAATGCATCCTGCTGGTACCTTTGGCATGTCCCAGACTTTGCGGTGGCACTTCCAGATTTGCACGTGCAAGTCCATTGTCTCTTACGCTGAGGAATGCCTAGGCAAACGGCACAATGGGAGGAGCACTGCTTGTGGCACTGGCTGAGGTTGGTGAGGCTGATTGAGCAATCGGCGATGTCCACACACCTTTGTTATCCTTTGTTTATGTCATGGGGCTTGGACGCTTCTGCTAAACTGCTAAACGTCTTCTCAGTGAGACAAGTGTTGATTTGGCAGATGCCTTGGCCTGCAAATCTCAGATAGGCTTGAGGTTGTTGGGATGTTGCAATTCAGGGCATGGGACTTGCCAAATGGGTTGAATTCATCAAACAGGTCGGGTGACACTGCGCCTGTTTGCTCTTCCAAAGCTTGTCATGACACCCTGGAGGCTGCGCTTCGTCAACAACACTCTCACAACTGAAGAAATCCAACAACTGGAGGAGATTCCCACAATGTTGAAGGAAATGCTTTGGCAACTTGTCGTGCAATCAGTCCGATAATTTGATGCCCCGAGTCGACAGAACCAAGCTGGAACTACACATTTCCAAGACACCACTTTGGCCGAGAGTGTGAGGGTAGTTTAGTAGTGCACAATGCAAGTTGCTGTGGGTGTTCAGGTGGGAAGCACGATGGGGTCCAAAAGAACGCTGGCTAAATCATTGCGAGGACCGAACTCCGTTCAGAAACTTGTAGATTGGGGTGACTAGGAAGAACAGGTGCTTGTTGTGTACCAAGCTCTTGCCACCTTACTCGTGCAGCCGCTCAGACCTTTATTCACAGCGCTTCGCGCCGCAGACCGCCTGCCTTAGGGAGAGGGATATACGGAGATGCATATTACAAAGAGAGAGGGAGAGAGACAAAGGCAAAGAGAGTCCCCTACTTGATCCCCTCAAAGGCGTGGTTGGAGATCAAAAGTCAAATTTTATTGCTTTTGAAGGCCGTCTTTGGCCCAAGTTGGGCGTTCGACGCAAATTGGAACCCAACTGCTCTTCAACTGCCAGCCTGAAAAATGGGGTAGGGAATCCAACCCCACCTGGGACACATGTTAGACGTATTGAACATATTGCCCATTTCAAGCCTCTCGTCATCATCAGTTGTCCTTCTTTTGCCCTATTTGCACCATCTATCAGAAGATGCCTCTTTCAGGACACCTGAGGCCATGCCGGACCCAAATTTCACACATCTCACGGCACGTCCATGTAGCCCTATGTCTTTTGATACCCGTCGACCATCTTCTTCATCCAACGCCGGTCCTATTTTGCACCTCTTCAGGCCCCCCTCAGAAAACACCACAAGTGAATAGTTGCAAACATTACAATTGTCTTCTCATCCTTCTTGCAGTCCTTGTGTGAAGATATTACGTCAAATCTGAAGATAAACTTCATCCATGGTCCATGATCCTTTATGGTCGCAAAATTCTCCGAACATGTCCTGCATTTGATTCTTCCAAAGGGTCATAACTCTCATCTCCACCTGCTTGAAGCCCCTCGCAGCCCAAGTTCTACCCAGATCGGTCCATAATTGCTCGTTTTGGACGTCATTTTGCATCCAAGCATCCAAACCAAATCAATCCAAGCTGATTGTTTAACGATCTTCAAACACCTACCGCAACAAAAAAGCACCCTCCTAGTTAAAGCTACTGTATAGTCTCCTAACAGATTCTACTCTCCACGTCAACACGCAACGCACCTCCGGCGCAGCCGGATTTACATGGATTTACTGATTTACGGCATGTGTGCCACATCCTCTCCTTCATTCTGTTTTAGCCAGCTTCTTCCGAACATTGCGTGTTGGCACTTGGCCGACCTTAGCACAAACGGGCTTGGCTCAGATGGGCCGCTGGAGGAGCTGAAAGAATGGTTGGAGACACGGGACTTCCCGTATGAGGCCCGACTGTTTGTTACTACTAGTAAGGCACTTGTTACTAGAAGCGATGCACTTGTTACTAGTAGCTTCTTGCTCCTAGTAGTACGGCCAGGAGCCCCTAGTAGCGTCCTTGCTCCTAGTAGCGATGCCAGGAGCCCTATAGTAGCGTTCTTGTTACTAGATATATATGATAATATACAGCAAAGTACTTGTCCTGTCTACTAGGGAAGACCGAGTCGACCAAGCATTGGGACCGGACAGAGAACAATCGTGTGCCATTTGCAGTTGCACAGTGAATTGCAGGTTTGGTGGACTGGGTGGTTTGCCGTCCTGCTTGCCATATAGTCTAGTATTATAGCCAGAACATGCCAGGGCGAGTTATTACAGATTGTCCAGAAACTCGAGACACAATTTTTGTGAGGGTTAGCCTCCCTTCCCCTGATCGTGTTCCACCCCCCCACACACCCACACACCCACACCCACACAACACAAACACACCCCTGGGCAGGGCCCAAATGCCTCGCTGAATGAGACGCGTTTGGCCATATGGTATAAGATTGCTGTTCAGAAACTCAAGCACCTTGGTGAAGAAGTTGGGCGAAGATCCTGCTCGGAGTCGAAGGCCCAGGTGCACATTCCACACATATTCCACACATGCGCAAGTCTTCCCAAACCAAACAGTCGTGTTGAGCTTTCCAGGCACCTGAATATCGTTGATGGTATTATTAGATGGTGCTGTGATGTGTTTTGAAGGTGTCAGGATACAAGCCACATCAGGTTTTGTCCCTCCTTTGATCCTGTGGAAGTGAGCTCAGCCTTGAAACAAAATCTGAAAGAGCCTGCTAACACGATAGGCTCCGCTCCCTCCCTCCCTCCCTCCCTCCCTCCCTCACGCGGGCGCACCCACCCACTCCGCTGACTACATTAAACCTCACGTGGGGTTTTCCGGTCCTTTGGTTGTGAGTTTACGCGCCAAGGAAGGGAACCCTATCTGCTGAGCAGACGCATGCATTGGCATCCATTCCACAGCTGGAAGGCATCGCCGACTACAAGCCAGTGACTGCGATGAAAATGAAGCAGACATCAGGTTGAGAGCTTGTAGAATAGTGTGCCGCCCTTCTCTTTTATCCAGGGCAGTAGGAAAGGCAAATGGTGACTTGGCCTCAGCGCGGACTTAGCATGCCACTTAGAGAAACCTAATATGCAGCGTTGCACTATTTGTAGTGGCCTTGATTGAAGCCAAGGCAGGCAAGACACGATTCTTGGAGCTTCTATGGCATCGTCGGTTCTTGGAACTTCAAGTCTGGCAATTGACCCACAAGAAGTTGCCGACCCGCACTGCTGGTAACCCACGTGAAAGGACGCTGGCATACTGGCTGGCGAAGAGCAAGTGGCTGTTTGCAACTGGGCATCTCAGCCACTTGACTGGGTGATGGAGAGTCTTGCATATAATGTGCGAGTACTTCAGGCCTTCAAATTTGATTTTTTGCTTCTGAACGCAGTGTTGGCTGCGTGGGGAATTTGTGTACAGGATGTAGCACACAGCCCTCGTTGATCGCACCCTTGCGACCTTTGTTCCCATCAACTGTCTCAAGGATCGATACTTGTTCATCTTCGTTTAAACTTTTCCCGATAGCGCTTGCCATAACACTTACTCACTGACCCACTCACCCATCCACCCACCAATAGGCTAAAGGGACCAGATTTTTGGTAGAGCCAACCGTTCCAGTGGCCCTTCCAGGAAGAATTGCCTTTTCAGCAAGGACTTGACCCAAAGAAACTTCAGTTGTTTGGTGGAATGTGTGTTCTCCAGTGCTGGTGCCCTACTAGTTTCGTCCATCAGTGCCAGGGTCTTCAGGAAACTTCAGGTCAACCTTGAAACCGAGGTTAAAGTTTTAAAGGAACGTCACGTCAATCCAAACCTCTCCTACCCGTATTCAAGATACACGTACCGCGGCTACTACGGCAACTGCCTACGTAGCCATCCAGTGGCGGAGGATGTTTGGAGGGTGCCAGCCAAGGTCACCAGCAGATTGAACAACTTAGAGAAATCCCAGGTGTCGATCTCCAGTTGCTTGGCTGTGGAGACTTCACCGTGTGAGTCTAGGCGTAGGTGCTATGACCTAAGTGTTTGAAGCCAACCCCGTTTTCAGACGACCCAAGTTTTTCTAACCCAACAAGTCAGCCTTTGTGAACGGACCTTGCTGCATGAATTGAAGCAACATCATGCGATGAAAGCAGATAGAATAGAACAATCCGGGAGTTCAAGAACCGCGAGGGCCTGGAAACTTTTCTGGGACATTTTTTCTTTTTGAGTTGGTTGTGATGTGCTGAGATACCAGAATACTACTCAACATCAACAAAAACAGAGGGACTGAGAACTCAAAAGCACAACCATGGCATCCGCAGCTTGGGAAGTGACTTGTTCTTTGTACCAGCTGGAATTGCCGCGCGAGGCCCGTAGGTCAGGTCCCACACGCCATGCAAAATATACAGGAAGTTTTGGCGGCCCTGCCGAAAAGAAGTTGATACTGGTACATGTACAGACAATATGCGACAATCCATTCCGAGTCTAGCCCGGCCCAATATTTCAACTGCCACCCACCATTGTAAGCTGTGCTGGTTTAGCGGTGTTGCTCGAGCTGTGGGGTTTTCTTTTACCATCAACGCGGTAAACATGGTAAAGCTCAATTGTTTTTTTTACAAATCGTTTTTACCTCGGGGGTCGGTTTTTTTTTCTACCTGCGCGGTAAAAACGGTAATGGTTGTTTCTTCGTTTTTCTTGCGCGGGCATGAGCGGGTACCCCTTAGCAAAACAACGCACGTGAACCGGCTCAGCGTTGTAAGCTGCTACCCCGTCCGACAGCCTGCCGCAATCTTTGGACAATCAATTGAACTTTGAGAAACTTGCATACCGGATTTGTGCTTTGAGGCACAGCTGCCGTGTGCAACTGAATGCGGCAGGCAAGCGAAAAGATGACCCGCACCGTGCGGTGACTTGTGTGAGAGCACTAAAGAGCACCGTTTTTGCAGGTGAGACGGTATAGGTACAGGTTGCTGAATCATTCAGAATTATTCATTAAATGAATATATCACGAAAGCTAGCGAAGCTAGCTGGAGTTACTCTTGCGATAGCAAGGTTTCTTTCGACCGGGTGCAAATCCTAACCCCTGATTTTTCAGGTCGAAGACCCCCCCCCCGCCCCCCCCCCCCTTGAAAGAGTGACTAGGGCGTACACGGTAGAGGTGCAGACCGCTAGTGTCTTTTATGCGCAGAGTCTTATCCTCTTGCTCTTTGAGCCTTGAAGCAGTCAAGCATGGACACACTATATCGGCTGTTGGAGTGGAACCCTGTACAGGTAGGCTCTACTTTTCAGCAGGCACAAGATTCATGTCCACTCCTAGCTGATTGCGTATGTCGCATACTCTTTTTCTACTGCAAGGCTAAAACAGTCCAGCTAGCTCTAGCAACTTAAAAGAAAACTACGGTGCCATGTACTTACCTAATCCAGTGTGTTTCACACTTCAGAGAAGGTAATCTCAAAGCTACTAAATACAGTGAGGGGGCAATAGCTGACTCACCTCAAGTACAAAATCAAATCGATAATGTACCTCGGCTGGAGACTGTACTTTTCGCAGGCGGAGATACCATGTACCGGCGCTCACTAGCTCTTTATGGCCTGAGCTAAATCAAACTAAAAGGGAAAGCGGCTTTTTCTCTACAGAGACCTATAAAAGAATCAAACGACACTCGCGTAACAAAGAACTAAAAATTCAAGACCGCACAATGCAATGAATTAAGATGCCTTGCAAAATGCAAGGAGCGTACGATCCGAGGAATAATCTTCTCGTGACGTGGTCTCGACCGCTTTCATTCACAGACAAAATAAACTGCATCAAAAGGACTCTCTTTCACATTCACATCAAAAACACAGAGAAGGAGATACCGGCAAATGTATGTACAAAAGTTGCACTACAAATGCAGACTTATGAAATGACTTAATCATCAACCATGAATGGTTGTCCATTAGAGGTCATCTCAGAAAAAGCGGCTGTGATAGATATCATCAGTTATGCAAAACTGTCCATACCTATCTGCATGCTAAAGCGTATAAACCTGGAATGCAGGAGTATCTTCTTTGATAAAAAGTTTCTCCTCATTGCAAACCAGAATTTATTAAAACTTCAGCCTGGCAACTTAAAGTCAAGCCTGGAAGCAAAGTATCAACTGTAACCAGAAGTATCTTCACTTCCTAGCCATCATTTAAATTTCAGCCTTCGCTCAGGAATTATGCCGCTGCAAACGATGAAGTTGCTTGATCAGAAGTTGGCGGCCTTCCCTTCCTTTTATTCTGCTTTTGTCTCTCCTTCCTCCGCAAGTTCGCCTCATGAAGAGTTGGTCCCATGCGATACTGTTTTCTGTCTCCAGATGAAAAGGAAGCTGGTCTGAGTGAAATAAACATTGGACCATGACTGTCCTCGTCAGTGGGCCTTGAGCACATAACCTCCGTGTCAATCATAGCAAAGTTCTCTGAAAAATTACAGATGAACTCCTTCGTACTCACTGTGGAATTTTCATATTCCTCTTCACTCATTGAATGACCCCATTCAACAATGGTAGACAAACATGTATCGCCAAGCTGTGATCCTTGGTATTCTTCTTTTTCAACAGTAGAATATTCTTCCCAGAGTTTATCAAAGTAAACTTCACACTTCTTGAGGACCTGTGAAGTTGAACTGTAAAATGTTCTGGGAATAGGTGCTTTGATACCAGGATCTGCTTTTACACGAGCTTCTGAAAACCTGCGGATCCAATGCTGCATGGTGCTGTAATAGTAGTTAGCCATTGGCTGCCTTTTGTACCCAGACATTCTGTAGGCCAAACTATTTGCATCACCAGAAATGATGTCCACCTCATAGACAAAACACTCGTAAAGCATCAATGCTGTCTGTTCTCCTGTCAGTAGGTGGGCATCCACAGCACGGTGTGTATCAACATGATAATTACAGACTCTGATGGTATGCATGTTCGCTCGAGTAAGTGGAACACGCTTGTCCTCAGGACCATAGTCATCAAATTCAAAGTCTGCATCCTTGAAACCTTGACGAGGCCTTGTTTCTCCAAAACAAATCTCGTAGATAGCCCAAGTTACATCACGCTGTTCACAGTGACCAAGATCTTGGTCATGTCCAGCAATGATCTTGACATATCCACCTGGTGCCAATCTAGCCATCACTGCAAGATTCTCCCAATCATTGAAACAAATTGTCCAATTCTTTTGCTCAATAAATTCCTTGGCAGGAACAAGAAGATGAGCTTCCTGGAGAATCACGACATGTGCACGTAAAAAGAAGAGCATGTTGAAGAAAAGGTTGTTCTCAAATTGCTCATTCTGAAGTGACATGGCGCTCTGTTTGCGTGGCCTCATTGCACTATCAAGTCCTTGGAGAAACCTTGGTGTGGTGTACTTCTGACCACGAACCATGTTGCCATAGTTCCAGGATAAAAATGTCGAGGACTCTGAGCTGGCCAATAAATTAGTTCCATATGGTTCTTCTATTCTTCCCTTGAGGAACCTTCTGCACAGCTCTTCATAGAAGGTGACAAAGTCCCAACTGGGTCCCTTGGGACCATATGATTCCAGTTCCTTCTTGAGTTCCTTTTTCGTATCCTCCAATTCTTCTCGAGCATGACCTGCCCTTTCAAGGGCCTTTGGATCGACCTGATACCTGCCATCCAAATAAATGATGCGGTCATCATTGATGAAGAATCTCTTCAAATCATGCTCTGGTTCATGTTCATAACAATCAGGTGGAGGTACTGGACAGATATTGCGAATGGATCGAACAAAATCATTCTCGTTGATCCTTGACTGATAATGAGGATGGGAAATCTCACCTTTTCTGAAACAAACATGATTCAGCAATCTTGCATGAGTTTCCCTGAAGCATAGTTGATAAAAGCCAATACCTGGATCTCCTGTAAGCTCTCCAAGCAACTTTAAAGGTGAAGTGTGCAACTCATAGGTATTGTCAACTTTTGTTGTATCCTTTTCAACAACTACTTCAGATGGAAAAGATTCTTGGATTTCAGCCTCCAATTTCTTCTCTCCATCATCCTCTCTGACCTCCTTTATCTTCTCCACCGCCTCTTTCTTCTCTTCCATGGTTGCATCATCCTGAACTTCTTCATGAAAATGAGGATCAGGAATCTTATTCAGGCGGCTTTTCTTAGATTTCCGCTGACCTGAAGTATCATCAAGGTTAGCGTCCATCTCACCTGATGGTAAGTGCGATGCAGTCGAGTCCTCACCTATCTCTCTTGACAGAAAGTGTGGTGTTGACTCTTCCTTGGCTTCCTCCTGGTCAACTTCCATCTTTGGTTCCTCTGAAGGAAAAACACCTGCATCTTCATCAAATATTTCTTCTTCCTTTCCAGGTTCAACTGCAGGATCTTCTTCAGGAACTTCCTCTTCCATATTCTCATCTTCTAGAAGTGTTCTACTTCCAGTATAGACTTCACCAGTGATAGTGGAGACTCTTGTATAAGGAGGAACTTCTTCACCTGCTTCAAAAGCTTGTTCTGCAACATCCTTGGTGAGCAAGTCCTCTACAAGATTTTCTCCCTCGGTTCTTGGAAGAGGTCCTGAGGTCTCATAAAAATCTGTCCTCTCTGAACTGAAAGCTTCTGTCGCCTTCTCATTGTCCTTTTGATCCCTGAACAGGTGAGTAATCTTCACAGCTTCTCCCTGTAGCACCTGATCACCTCCTCTATACTTGTCGACAATGGAGCGCCATACTGGAACATCATCATCATCAAAATCAAGCTCCATATCATCTGCCAACAGGTATGAGATGTTTTGAGCTGCCTGTTCTTCTTCTTCATCACGTTCCTTGGCAAGCTCCTCATCCTTCTGGATCTTGAAGATACCCTTCAGGATGTCTTGTAGTACCTTTAAGTTCAGCTTCGATGATGGCTCATACGTCCCTGAACTTACAGGCTCAACTACAACACGAGAGCAAGAAATCGCCTCCAAAAACTTGGAATTGTATTGGCGTTCAAACTCTTCCTTCTTGATCATCTCATACAAGGGATCAGAAACTGCAACACGCGCCTGAACATACTCACGAAGTTGATAGCATGCATGTTGCACAAATCTACTGTTGGAGTTGTGAAGAAAACTCTCTAAATGATTCCTGTCACGGTCAATCAAATACCACACAATCCTTGCAGAAAAACGGAATTTCTTGAAGTTCATAGCAAAATGTGTATGATACTTCTCTGGATTCCTTTCTGCTTGTAAGGCGGCCTCTGAAGTCTTGTAAGCTGGGAGATTTGTGTCTGGATCCAAAATCATAAACTCTTCCCACAAGATCGAGTGGTCAAGAACCCACTTGGGAAGCACCTTGATGAAAAAGTCACAAACAAGTTCTGACACAAGGTGCATGACGCGACCAATCTCTTCCTCCTGCTTGAAGCGATAGTGCAGTTTGGCAAATAAAGGATTGTTGAATGCTTCCTCCACTGTATTGCCAAAATTATCCCACTGAGGTTCTGGAATACCAAAGTTCCAACCCAGCAATTTGGGATCTCTGCACATATCCAAGAAGCTTGAAAGCTCTACAGAAGCAATGCCATGGTCTGTCAGAATTTCAGCCCAGCGGCGTCCATTCTCCCAAGCACGGATGAAGAAAAACTGTTGGTATCCAGTTTGTGCCAACTCCATCCACTGAGAAATTCCGGGTTCAAAACTCGGTGCATATGTCTTGGGGTCTTCCTCTGTTCCATAAACACTTGGACGTAGCAACTTGTATCTTCTACAAAAATATTCTCTCTGGTGCCTTGTCAACCTGTCCCAATCCCTCACAAGGATCACGTCTTCTCCAGTGCTCTGGAGTACACGTGTTCCTACACGATCATGGAGTGATACCATGCCAATGTCATATACCATCCATGGGTTGAGAACCAGGTTGTTGACATTCTGAATGAACCATGTCATCTCACGCTCAGCAACATGAGCAGAGTCATCTTCTTCATCTTGTTGAGGTTCTCCAGAAGTC